TATTATTTGTACACTATGAATTTAAATTTTACACTATACATGCCGGAGTTGCCTGTAACGAACGTTGCATTGAAGCGCGCTCACGGCTCAAGCGATCCCCACTACGAACTCGACTACGTGGCCGAGTAGAGGGGGGACATCCGTTGCATGATTTCGTTACATAGCAACTCGCATGAAACGAACTTACCCTACTGTGCGTGAAGAAGTTTCACTTCAAAAATGTACGCAATTTGAACAATAAGTATGAAGTGTGGGCTCTATGTATTTATATCTTAACACTGAACAACTCTTTAGCTTTATTGGTTTTGCGTCACACTAAAGCGCGAGTACTATAGTTTGTTTTCAAAGAGTTTTGCATTTCTTAATCACAAGGTGAAGATAGTAGACATTCTTACCAGATACGTGCTATCCATATTAGATACCGAGGGATCTTCGTCCCCAAAATAAAATCGTTTCAGGTCTTCTGCTATTTTCTTTGATTTTTCGCTGCCCTTAGGAACATTATAAGAGTAAGGAATTAAATCTTCTGTATTGTTAGGGGATGGAATGGCACGTTCGGCTGCCACGTATTCCATTGCGTATAACATACCTTCCCTGGATGTATAGCCTGTCATAAAAGGGACGTTACTGTAATTACCACTCCTTATCAGATGAAGAGGCTCTTCGGTCAAGAATGGATTTTTACTTGACGGATCTTCTATTACTGGTCCGAATGGTCGTTTTTCGCTACATTTGATGTGCTATAAATATAAAGCAAATTTTCTTTAGAGCTTATACTGGAGCGGATCCGGAAGCACTTATTGAAGGAAAGAATTAACTCATTCGTAAAATCCGGATACTAAAAGAAATCGCATACAAAAACATTGTTAATCGAGAGATTTCTTTTAGTGCAGTAGAAAATCCCGTAGGCTTTGTAATGAGTTCTCTATTAATTAGCGATTTTTCAAAATTTAGCACTTTAATTACTTGGATAGTTCACATTTCTATGCTCGCAAACGGTTAATTTAGAAATTCGAAAAAGATTGTTAGAAGTCTATATTTAGCGACGCTGTACGGGTGCGAAATATGTAAAATGGGCGCGGCTGAAAGAAAAGGTTAGAAGCGATTGAAATGTGGTGTTACAGATGAATGATCAGGATATCATGGATAGAGAAAGTTAGAAGTGAAGAGGTATTAGAAAAAATAGGAGAACAGAGGACTCTATGAAAGTTAATAAGAAATAGGCTCGATAGGTTGGTAGAGCACCTTTTCAGACATGAAGGGCTATTCAGAGACATATTAAAAGCAGAAACAGGAGTTAAGAGGAGTAGAGGTAGACCTATATTAACTTACTGTTGGCAAATAGTCAAGGATGTGGGATGTTCTAGTTTTAATTTTGTGAAGATTAGCTCAGGATAGGAAAGAGTGAAGGTGCATGTCCAACTAGTGACCAAGCGGCATGGCCTAGAGCAGTGATTCCCAACCGGTGGTTCGCGAACCCCTGGGGGTTCGCAGTGTTTGCAGAGGGGGTTCGCGAAAATAATATGGTAATGGCGGATTTTTTAAAACGTCGATAAAATGCCTGTTTGTTAAGAAATCTATGATAAATTTTAATATTTTCATTTCTTTTTGCCTTATTTGTTTTTCAAAATTAGTTCATCAATATCAAAATATATCAACAATTTTATACATTAAAATTTATTCCTCTTATTCAAGTAATCAAATACTATTCTCTTTTTATTACAAACATTTATTTATATTTAAAACATTTTAT